AAGTTACTTACACTTGTTGGCGCTGTAGCAGCTAACGGCAATGGTGGGCTTGGCTCCTAAAAATGTCGTTATTCTTTCCTTTTACAAATTTTTTGCCACTTTTCTTACCTGCACTTCTTCCTGTGTCGGTGCTTCTTCATATTTAAGGAACGGCAGCTCTTCACCTTTTGTTTCGGCTAGTTTCTCCTTAAATAACAGGTATGAGTGAAGTATATCTCATTGAATATCACCTCCTCTCTCTTTTCCTTCTCCGTATCGACTAGCGGTTGAATCTCTTCCTCATGCCTTACGAATATCCCCAGTTTCAGATTGATGCTTATCATCTGATGGTGCGGAAGCAATTGAGAGGGAAAGGGCACTGGACTGGTTAAGTAAAAATACGCTTACCAGAAGGGTGTTTAGATACATGGCAAGGACAATCATATAGCCGCAACCGCAGCTTCGTAGCGTTATGCCAACGTCGATAAAAGGAGGATCGTCGGCCTGAAACTTTACTTTGAAATGTTGTTCTTGTGTTTGGAACGCTTTACAAACTTACATATAAGTCGTTCATTTTGTGTAAAAGAACCAGAAGGAATTGCTAGAGCAGCTGCTTCCTAAGATAGCAAAGATGAGAATGAACATAACTACTGATTTTGAACTTTTTCTGCTATAATCAGTTTCTGGTATTTTCAAGTTTTCTCAGTGATATGAGCGTTTTGATAGAAATTCGTCTAAATTTGAAGTTTGACTTCGAACGTTCTAGAAGGGTTGCAGAGTAATCCATACAATTTGTTCAACGCTATCGCCGTCTGTAACTCTCCTTGCTCCCTTTCCTTAATGCGCGACCCATGCGAAGCACTCCTCAAATTCAACCCAGTTGTCAAAAGGATGTTCCAGTATATTCCAGCATACTGATTAAATTCTAGAATTCGTGAATGCGCACATGCAGATGTCAAAGATTGAGCTGTGCGAAAAGTTGCTGATGACATAAAGTGCGGTTACACAAGTTACTTCGATAATACAAAAGCTATAAATAACAGTAAGAATTCAAGGACCTATCGTTTTC